CTTTCTTTCTTTCTTTCTTTCTTTCTTTCTTTCTTTCTTTCTTTCTTATACAGACTCGTATCCATGAATTTGTCGCCGTTTGACTTCCTTGTAATGAGTTGTTAGATTTTCATTTCTCACTAAGAACACCTGATGACCCCTCTTATTTATCTCTGTGAGGGATTTTCCAGCCAAATTAGAAATGGCATAACCACTAAAAAGATTATTACCTATTTGGTGATGACATCCTTATTTATACAGAACAGGAGTGCATGGAAATGGGTTGCCAGTTCCCTCACATCAGAAAAAGAGAATGAAATGTCACATCTAAAACAGATGTAAGAAGGAGTGAGGCTAAAAGAGAGGGAGGGGGGGAGGAGGTGGAGGACGACAGAATACACCAGAGTATAAAACAAGCTCCGCTGGACCAGACAGATGATGTACAACCTCATTTTTGGCTTCAAGAATAAAACCCATGTTTAATTTATGAGGTGCCTATATTTGTTGGTGAGAGCGCAGAGTGAATGAGCTGCTCTGCAGTGTTGTACTCCTCAGCTTTATATAGGACATGAGTGGGTGGGTGTGGAGGGCAGGAGTGGTGGGGGTCATATCTTTAGTTTGGTCCATTTTCCCTGTTGCTCCCGCCCCGACCAGACGAGGGATGTCTGAGGTTTTCCACCTGTCAGAACTCAAATAATCTCCTGTGATGGCTCATACGTGAGAGGTTTTCACCGGCCTGGCAACATAAAAGCCAAGTGGATATTTATATTTTCCAAGTCTTGTCAGGTTTTTTAAGAACAGGAAGGGCTGGGCCCCCTTTGGGAACCCATGTGGATCATGTCTGCCTATGTATTCTAAGCATTCTTCTTGAATGTGATCGGCTGTAGCAACCAGCTATCTGGAAGAGTCGGAAACTAAATGTGTTCAAATTGGGATTTCTGTTGTTTGTTTTCATGCAACTTAATAAGAAACCATCTTCATAGACTAATTATAATCTCACAGTATATAAAGAGCAGTCTGTATATTTAGATTTCTGACTCCATTCTTAAATGGAGCACAATCTCAGGAAATGTATAGAGACTAAAGAGGAGGCCAATGCAGAAAGGCAACCAGGAGGCAGATGGATGATTATGTGCAGATTTTATTTGGATGAACCAAGGGGCCAGCAAAGCTGGAGAGCCATAAGGCTGGAAAATGAAATAATTATTTAAGAATCCACAAGGAATAAATACATGCAAGTAGCAGGAACAATGATTCCTACAGTGAGAGAAACCAGCAAATCATTAACAGGTTATTTTATCACAGAAAATGAGAAAAATAAGATACAAGGAGTATGAGACAAAAGGAGCTAATGTCTCTAATGTATAAAACAAACGAATGTCACTGAGGGAAAAATGACAAGGAACCTAAACTGAGAAAAGAGCCAGAAAACTAAAAAGTCAAAAAGAAAGAAATACACACTTAAATAAGACATGGCCGTGAAAACAAAGCAGATCTGAAAGCAACGGAAAGAAACTGAAGGTTGGAACCAAACAGGAGAGGATTAATTCAGAGAGAACGAGTGAACTCCATCGTTTTTTCCATCACTGCCCTTGTTATGATTTCCAACCCTGTGCCTAAACACAACCACCAGGTTATGTTTACATGTAACCGAGCGAAAAGCAAAATGGACGTTGGTGAAAATGGAGTTGTGGAGGGGGCGTGGCGCTCAGCTGCAGGGGGGAGGTGATTAAGCACACCTGGAACCAGTTGGCTAATCACTCTCCCCTCTGTAAAAAGAGTAGCGAGCTGGACCTGTGCAGGACTGGTTTTGAGGAGAGCTGGAGCAGGAAACAAGCCACTAGCCAGGAACACAACGGGCCATACGCGTGGAACCAAAAACAGCCAAAGCCGGGCGTGAGTGTGTGTACGTGTGAGAGAATTGAACCTGTTGAACCAACGGATGTTGGTCTCTAAAAGACTCTGTCGGGGCACCCACGGTGGCACGACTGCCACAGGAGTGAAAGTCGTTTTCCCACAGTCCAAAAACCTGCATGTTAGGTTGATTGGGGAAAATGCCCTTAGGAGTGAATGTGAGTGTGAGTGGTTGTTTGTCCTTGTATGTCCTGTGTGTGGCCCTGTGATGGACTGGTGGACTGTCCAGGGTGTACCCTGCCTCTATCCCGTTGACCACTGGGATAGGCTCCAGTTCCCCGCGCAACCCCATCAGGGAATAAGCGGTATTGATAATGGATGTTGTGATTAATCCTATCTGTCGGAGGACTTGTTGCTTTTTCCCTTAAAATGTGGTGAGTATAAGTCCTTTCAGTATTCCTTTGTGTTTTCTCTCTTTATCGGCTGCGCATAGCAAAACAATTAGCTTGGTTAATATAATGAAAAACTAGTGGCTTTTAGGAAAGTTACGGACTCTGTGTTTCCCTCGTTCCCACCCTCACGGTTTGTTTTTTCTCATCAGTATGCAGCAGAACTTAACGATTTGTTGTTGACTAAATTGGTTTATTCTCTTGGCAGCCTTTCTGATATTTTTTTTCATAGTTCATACTTAATTGAAAGCAGAAATCCCTTAAGATTTGAGGGGTTTGGGTGTAATTAGGAACCGGATAGAGACATTTGTTTCTCTAAAACCAGGAAGTGCTTCAAAGCACACAGCCTCTGAATGTCACGCACTGCCAATTTTCTTATCTTCTTTTATTTTTTTCTGGTTTACAGACATTCTAGTGCAAAACATAAAAGCCTAAACAATACACATGGAGCCATTTTCAGGCAGGGTTCTGGCAGAGGTGTGCCAGTGCTCTGCCCCACACAGAAGTTAAGCTCTGGTAAGCTGTGAGAAGCAATATTGAGGATTAAAAAAATGTGGTGGTTTAGAGCATAGCATTTATGCAGATGCACTGAGCTAGACTCCCTCACCTGTCTGCATAGAGCTGGCCGCCAGTCAGCCCAGTTGGATGTAAAAACTGTAATGAGCCATTCTTTTTTTTACAAATTAGAAAGAAGTTCCTCCAACGCAAGTTTAGTAAATCTTAGGGTTGGACCAGTGTGCTCATTTACATTGTGTGCAGTTCGCGCTCTGTATCTTCTGACCCTGAAGTGACAGAGGAGGCTATACACAAGAGAAGTTCATAACAGCAGCCTATCCAGGGGATAGTGAACATCTAATTAGTTCAATTTGTGGCTAGAAGAAATGTGAGGCTGTCCAATTTGCTACACTGCTGGCATTTGTTTTTTATCTGTGACATTTACAGTCAAATGGAAAATAAATGATACCAAAAATGAGACATTAAACTGCCAAAATTGAAAATGTAAGTGTTGCTTTGGCAGGAAGTCTAAACTAAAATGTGTATAAGACAAGAACAACAAAAGGCACAGCGTAGGCTGGAAGACTGGGAACAAACCAAGAGGAAACCTAGAACTAACAAAACCAAGGAACTCAGTGGGAGGACGAAAGGGAAACGGTACCAGTGGCAGATGGTTGGAAATGAAGACAGAGACATGACGTGAAGGATCTGGCACAGTGTGTTATGATGGAGAGGCTTCTATTCAGGGATGTGTGATTAGTGGGATGAAAGCCAGGTGCAGGTAATTGAATGATAACCAAAAACAAAGGGAAGTTGAGTAATCTGAGAGACAAGGGGAACACGCAGGAAATTAAGAAAGACACTAGGGTAAAACGGGAAACCAGAAACCAAGACGGACATAAGGCCACTCAAACAAAACGCAGGCAGTAAATCACGGAAAGCATGACCAAGACACTAGACTGAAAATCCAAAGTAACCCCGCTCACGGCACATTTTAGGATTAACAAAGAGGGAGTTTCAAAATGGAAATGGCAATCGTCTTTTTACATGCAACCAAAACTCCACTTACCGGTGCCGGTTCCTGAACGACATAACTTATTTTTAAAACTTCTTCTTTGTTCCAAAAGCATATAATTTCTACCACTGTGAAACCATGAAATCTAACCACAAAAACTTGCAACTTCTCAATCAAGACAGCCTCGCATGCAAAAGCCCACACTCTAATCCTGTTTTTATGCCCTGTCTTGCCCCTCTGCAGTCAGACATCGGCCCATTTCCGCACAACCGGACCGACAGCGGCGTCTCGGAGCCCAGGGAAGACGAGGTGTCTGGTGGCCCAGAAAGGGCCTCTGATCCAGGGCACGGAGCCGGGGCCCACAGACCCTGGAGGATTGAAGACTTGGAAGGGGAGCTGGGGAGGAAGGTGGAGCTTCTGGAGAAAGAGAGAAAAGCCCTGAGGCTGGAAACGGAGAGACACCGGCAGGAAATCGACCAGGGCATCAATAAACTACACCACCGACTCTCAGGCCTGGAGGAAGGTAAAGTGCTAAAGCAAAAGAACAAGAGGCTCCAGAACAGCAGCTTGTTTCTGCACGGAGATGTTTTAATGCACCTGTGAGCAGAACATACGTGTGTGTGCACAAATATGATGAAAAAGACTAGCTTTTGGGGACTGAAGAGCTAAGTTGAGTGGCTGCTTATCAAATAATCCCCGTACATTAACTGTAATGTTGTGTCTGCACTGTAAGTCGCTTTGGAAGAGACTGTCTGCCAAAAGCAGAAACATAAAGATATAATGCTGCAAATTGCTAATGATGATACACAATCTGGTGTGTAGATAACTTCAGAGACTTTTTTAAAATCAAATCATTCCATGGGTTGCCTTATGATGAATAAATAATGCTTGAAAGGGGGAAAAAAAAAAACTCTGTAGGAGATTTCTCTTCCCCTGACTTGATATATCTTTGCTCCCTGACTGACTTATCTCATCATTCATTCAAAATTTCAAAGGTGCTGCGGGGCACTCTTTCCCAGAGGGCTACAGGCTGTCCTTTCCAGCCCGGACGAACTACATGTTCGCTCTCGTGAAGCACGCCATCCCCCCGCTGCGGGCCTTCACCGCCTGCCTGTGGCTGCGGCCCGCCGCCGCCGGCATCGGCACCCCTCTGTCCTACGCCGTCCCCGAGCAGCCCAACGAACTGGTGCTCCTGCAAGGCCTGCACACGCCCGCCGAGCTGCTCATCAACGACAAGGTACTGCCACATGTGCCGAATCTGCACTGCTCGGTTCTAAAGAGCTGTCGGGTCTTTTTTGAGGGAAGGAAAGCATCAGGGTTTGTGCATCTGTCTCTTAAAAGATTGCTCAGTCAAATTGGTCTTAGATCTTCATAGAACATCTCATAAGTAGCGCTTGTTTTTGAAAGAAAAATCTTGTGAAGTAATCCTTTTGATACTTCTCAGCTTTGAAGTTTGTAAGAGTAGCAGACATGTTAACATGTTTCAGTATTTTTCATTTTGAAAATCCAGAAAATATGTTTAGGTTATTTGGTATATATATTTTTACCTTTAAGTTGTTTTAAAACACTGAAGAATCGAAACAATGTTTCAAATAAAAAAATAAGTTGGTAAAAGACCGCATTTTTCCAGTAAATCTAAACTTTAGGTTTTAATTTCAATGACCTAATTTATTTATTATTAAACTTCCATTAATGTGCATTGGTCCTGATCATCTGATAGGGGCTAATATAAATACATTTCCAAAGTGTTGCCTTTACTCTAAACTGGGCATTTGCTTTTATTTGCAAACATCCATGACAACATACAACTGATTAAGAATCACTGCTTTATTGTGATGAGTTACAGTAGTCTACTGTTATTTTATACTGATCATATTACATCTTAGCCATTATGCACCGAATGTACACTGAACACAAACTTGCGATCTTTATGAATTACAGCAATATACATTCTATTTCTAAGAATCAATCATAAATAGTTATTTTTCAATCAAAGCTTGTCTCTGTTTAAACATCAGTTGTAGTTGGGTTAAACAGGAGCCATGGAGGTCATGACCTCACAGTAGAATGTCTACTAACGGAAAAATTAGGCACAACGTCAAATGAAAAGACCAATTCTGCTGAGAAATAAGTCTTGTTTGTGTGTTCAGGTGAAAGATTAAAGTGCCACCATGGCAGTGTTACAGGGCTGTGTGGAGCCATGCGGCGGCTTTTGGAATAATTCAGCGAAGTCATTATGGTAATAGGTGCTTTGGAGGTAGCAGCCTGCCTTTAGGGCAGAGGAAATGTTGTATAACAGCCAATTTGGACCTTGAAGACTCAGAGAAATAAAGACATCAAAGGCATGCCAACTGCGTTGCTATGCAGCAGCATCTTATCAGCATCAAGCTCATGTAATTTCACCACTCGCCTGCCTGATGAGGGGTTTAATCAGTGATAATGTGGCATTCAGAGCAACCACACGGCCGCTTCATCTTCATTTTACCTTCGCTCTCAAACTCCTAGGTGGCCCAGCTGCCTCTGAACCTTTCCCGAGGCAGCTGGCAGCACCTCTGCGTGAGCTGGACCCAAAAGGGGGGAGCCTGGCAGGCCTACCAAGGCGGGAAGCTGAGGGGGGAGGGCCAAGGGCTGGCCGCCGGACACCACATCAGACCTGGAGGAGTGCTCATTCTGGGGCAAGAGCAGGTGAGCAAAAGGCCACGCTGTAATGTTTTGACTGGTTGGCGACTGGATGGGTTGGACGTTCGCTCTGAAAATAACCTGCTGACAAGCGCAAAGCGTTTGTGTTGGTTCTGAACAGCAAAGGTGGTCGCCAAGGGGACCATCAACCGGGGCCAGAAAAAGCCTTCCCACATGGCCGGCTCACTCTGTTATTTTCACATCTCACCAAAAAGCGCTCTTGCCTTTGGCAGCAAAGTGATTTAAACTGAACCTGCCTGTATATATAACTATTGTTATTGCTCAATCCAGGATTCCCTGGGTGGAGGTTTCGACTCATCCCAGGCACTGGTTGGAGAGCTGTCCCAGGTGGGTCTGTGGGACAGAGTCCTGTCCCCCGGCCAGGTGGCCACCCTGGCACGATGCAACAGAGTGACCCAAGGCAGTGTGGCCCCCTGGTCCGAGAACGGGGTTGAAGCATATGGAGGAGCAACCAAAGACCCGGGGGAGCCTTGCAGTAAGCACAGCAGGAGCTCCCAGTGACTGTCAGGTGAAGGATTTGAGGAAAGAGTCGATCTGCCCAGTTTTGCCACTGATATACCATGATTAAAACAAACAAAACAAAAAAAGATCTATGTAGTATGAGGTGACAGATGTGTAAAAGCTTTGCATTACTTTAAACGCTCCAGCCGATGTAAATAAAGTAAAGGCCACGGGGATATCTTGCAATGCAGTCGCCAACAAAATTGTTCAATGCCCATTTTTCTGAAAAGTTTTTAATGAGATCACATCTGCTCATGCATATGAGTTAAGCATTTGTGGAGACCTTATCAAAAAGTTGAATTTGGTTGATAAAAAAAAATCCTCGAGTGTTGTTGAATTCAAGCCATGCATCAGCAGGAGTGTCAATTTTCTTCTATTGAATCAAACCAGACCAGTAAGAAGATGAAATGTGAATTTAGATCACAAGCCAAAACGTTAACCCTCATGTTGCCACAGACCTAAAGAAAAAACTACTTAAGCCCTGTTCATTTCAAGGAAGGACTGACACTGATCTATATTTGAGCATCGTGTCCTATGTGAATGTGTGGAGATAAAAGGCGGGGATGGAATTAATCGACTGCTGACACGCCTCTGAGCCAGCAACAGAGCCAGTGAGGCAGGCTAAATGATCTGTGTGTATGATGAAAACTGCACTGCAGCGCTCACCGCTCTGACCAGCACTGTTGTCTCTGAGCCGAGGTGGTGTTGAACCACATCATCCTAACAAGGAAGTCTCCTCCGATGGGGAACAGCCAGGGTGTCAAAAGGCCCATGGTAGTGGTTTGGCTAACAGTTAATGTGTTATTTCCCACCGCGGCGTACAGCGATCTAAATGGGCTTGATCTGATCCTCGAGGAAACCACTGAACGTTTCGGGAAACACTTTCTTGCGTCTCGCGCTTGCATTAATATTCTGTCTTTACAACGCACCTCAGCGCTCGTCGGATAACTCGGTAATGAGCCGCATCCGTTTAGCAGCACTTCCAATTCGTTTAATCCAAATTAAGCCAGTCAAAAGAAACACAGTCACAAAATGCATTAGCACAGCAGCCAGTGGATTAAGATGGTTTCTGCTTTTGCAAAAAGTATATCATTTTCCAAAACATAGATTTTTTTTTTTTTACTTTTAAAATGGTGGGATCAGTGGAGAGACCAACATTTTAAAAGAAAATACAACTTTGGGCTTTTTTTCTCAACAACCACTACCGAATTCAATCAATATTTCTGGTTCTTTTTCAGCCTCAGAAAGCTGAGCGCTAAATATCAAAGGCAGAGAGCTGAACCAGGGCAGCTCAAATCCATGTGTGGAGGAGATTTGAAGAGGAATTAGTTGAGGCCTGTGACAGCTTTAGAGTTTAGAGTCAAGGAAAGGTGATAAAAAATACTGGAGAAAGCGACGAGAATATCAAGCAGCGGATGGTAGCCAGGAGTAGATGATGAAAGGGGGAGGAAAGGGGGAAAAGGTAGCATTACTGGCTATGGGTAATGCTGGGTTGTGTTCACCTCTGCATGATGCAATCAATCCTACACGTTTTATGTCTGTTTCTCACAAGTTGTCACACTAGAGGGTGGTGCCTTGTACGAGGTGGCTGTCTTTGTGTTAGTCTCCTAAGGTCTGAGTCTTTTTTTATTCCTTTTGCAGAAATTTTAGAAGCACTGAAAAATTAAAGAGCAAGCGGAGTCTGATTTCTGCAAAACACTGCAGACACTTACTTTTTGTAATGCATTGACTCATAACTTTACCAGCTGTCCAAGTAAACACTTTGTTAAGTCTAAGAGTTTGTGTCCACATTTCTGAAATAAGAGGTGGTAAATGCCTCACGAATGTATTAAAACAACCACGTGGCAACGCCAAAAAGTGGTGGAATGAATCGATAACCTGCCGTCCCCACCTCTTTCGATCTTAACACATTCCATGCATGATCCACCCGGCTGATCTAAAGAACACACGTTTGAGAATCATTCCAAGCCTTGTATCAGACTTGCTAGTGAACACAAATTGTTTGTTACTAAAAAAGAAAAGAAAAAGCTGTTTCTCTGTTCTCTTTGGTGGAAAGTGCCTGCTGGGGTGTTTGTACCCATGTAAACAAGTGATCCACTTTATTCTACCAATGGAAAATTGTCAGTGCAAGATATTTTGAACTAATGAAACGTCTATGAATTGAATTCCATGGTGAGGCTTTAGTATTGAGGACGTTTTGGGACACATTTGTTTAAACTTCTGCAGTGCTACAAAGCTAGCTCTAAATGAGGTCAAACCGTCTTGTGGCTCCTGGATGTGTCTTCGATGGTTCTGCTCAGTGCTGTTACTTTGTGTCTTGCCTTGCGTCTGCACAGCTCATGTCGGAGCTTTTTGGTTCATTATGTTCGGTTTTCAGTGTGCGCATTGGCATTCGTGTGGTTTCACTGTGTGGATATCTAAAATATCGTACGTCCATGTCTTGTGTGGTGTTGTATTGTTCTGCACACGTGTCAAATACAAATGTCGAATACTCAATAAAGATTTTCATTTTCAGAAGGAACTTCTGTTACCCTCATGTTGTTAGCGTGTAACAATTTCACAAGAGGGTGAAATAAAAGCATGATTATTGGTGATTCAGTGAGTTTACCATTCAGACAAGGATGGCACAGAACTCATTGTTGGAAAGTGAACTTGATATAACCCTGCTTGGGGATTTTTCTCAACTTAAGTATAACATCAGATATTTTTCAATACCAAAAAGAAAGAATAGAGAAGAAAATAATATTTTCCTCTGATGCTTTAAAGAAACCAACAAGAAAGCTGTATCTAACATTATATTCCAGAGAGAGATCATAAAAGGCTTATGTAGGTAAATTCCAATATTGTAAAAGTTTTCAACACACAGTAAATAATGTATATATACTCTATGTATGTAGATGTGTGTGAAATTATGTGTATTCTGGTATTTTTTCTCTACCATTTTCTTTTCTGAATGAAAACATTTATTAAATTAATTTGGTTCAGTTCAGTTTATCTGTTTTATTCTTGGCTGCCCATGGTCAAAACCTTGAATTTTGTCCTTAAACTCGTCCAAAGTGTGCACAATCGCCAGGCTGTCGTTTACCTGGGACAATGGATGACAGTATTAACCATCAGGCGGATTCGTGGGCACCAAGTACATACTACTGCTGTAGGCCCCACATATATGATATATAGTGCTATTTCCCTACAACAATGGCTTCTTTTAAAAGGCTTATGAAATAGAAAAACTTTTTATATCATGGTGCCTGCCACAAAAGCACACATCCAGTCCATGCCCAGAAAAAATAACTGTATACTTGGCAAATATTAGACCATTTTTGTCACAGACGAGGATACTAAACAGAAACATGAGAGGTTTCAATCTTCCATCTTTTGGCAAAGAATAAAATGTGTATGTTGTCTTAGGTGCTTATTTAGGATAACACCTCTAATGCATCTAATACATTATATTTATGAACAAAAATGAAGTAAAATGGCCTATTGGTATGTCAGTTTTATGACATCTAATAATCTACCTAATCCAACAATCTATTTTATAACTGAATTCTAATTATATTCTTTCTTCCAGTCTATATAGCCATTGCCCTCCTATCACCCCCTTTACTTTGCCAAGACACTCTCAACATGTTTAAACAGAAAAGAGGAGAAACACACAGACTATGATGCTGAGCCATTTTAAGACTGCTGTTATTTTTACAGATTGGCTGGGAAACTCAAGTTAAACACTGCAGGCAGTAAGCATGCACGATAGCAAGGTTTTGTAAATAAAAGAAAAACAAATGTCTTTATTTCTGCTTTTTTGCCAAGAGGCATGAGTCATGCCACATTACTTCTGAATCTGATACCCTCCGTGTCTCTATTAGCTTGCCAGTCCCAAACCATGCTAAGTTAACACATCACTCACACACGTACTGAAAAGGCAACACATCTCCCACCTGTGGATGGAGCAGCTGACAGAAAATGAACCAAATTAAGAGGAGAGCAAACAGCAGCAGCTTCCTTTTCCACTCTATTAACCCAGGTAGCTATCCCAGTGGATCAGACATAGCTGAGAACTTTTAGAAGAGTGGATGCTCCATGTTAAACACGATCATGTCGAGCAAAACTTTAAAATGTGATACACATCTACAATCATGGAAACTTAAAAACCCTACATTCCTTTATGTTTCAGGTGTTCTGGGACAGTCCTTACTGTTAACACTGGCATTTTCCTTCAGTGTCTCCTGTTTCAGCAACAATCAACAATCTCGCCATGGCACCATTAGTCCCATTCAGTGAGGCGATTACATGTTTGTTTGCTTTTAGCTTTTCCTTCTTTAATAATAAGAAAAAAATGGATTGTCCCACCAGAATGAGTCTGATGCTTGTTTGCATAGTTTTGTATCCATTGTTCCTGTTAGGTATGGTAGGCGTACTGTAAGCCAGCGACCATCTGCTTTTTACTTGTTTGCTGTTAACTGCTTATAAACTGCCTTCTCCATTTATCAACCTAAAGAATGGACGAAAATGGAAAAGATGTGGGAGGTGACACAGACTCATTGACAGTGTTGGGTAAGTTACTTTAAAAATGTAATCCGTTACAGTTACAAGTTACCTTGTTTAAAATGTAATTGTAGTGTAACTTTTTCGATTACTTTTAAAAAGTAATGTAACTAATTACTTTTGATTACTTTTTGATTACTTCAAGGTTTTAATGAGTATTAACCCATGATTAATTTTAGCATGTTATTATTAGCTATTGGCCGCAGCTAGCAGTTCAAGGCTAACGTCTTGTTAATGACCATAAACAACGTAAATAAATACATAAATAAATCGGAGACAAGGGGCGCAGCGACGGCAGGTCAGTCGTATCCGAATACAACATTTTAGTATCTATACTTTTTTAAAGTATCGATGCTTTTGACAACCCTAGTCTGAAATGTAGGACATGTCTGGGAAAAAGAGGACGTCTGGTCACCCTACAGTTGGGTAGGCTAGGTAGTCTAGGCTAGGTTAGG